AGCAGCAGCAGCAGCAGCAGCAGCAGCAGCAGCAGGAGTCGAGCGCGGGCGCAGCAGGGCCCCTCCGGCGACGATGCTGAGCTCCCGGGCCTCCCTGTCCGGGCCCGGCCTGCCGGGGTCCGCGGCGCTGCCCGGGGGGCCCCCCGCAGCAGCAGCAGCAGCAGCAGCGGGGGCCCCCGGGCGCGCGGAAAGCTACAAAACGGTGCTGCTGGGCGAGGCCTCGGTGGGGAAGTCCAGCCTGGTGCTGCGGTTTGTGAAAGACAGCTTCAGCGAGGCCATGGAAACCACAATTGGAGCTGCTTTTTTCGCAAAAACAATCGAAGTTGACGGAAATTTGGTGAAGTTCGAAATCTGGGACACGGCGGGCCAAGAGCGGTTCGCCTCGCTGGCCCCCATGTACTACCGCGGGGCTGCTGCAGCGGTGGTCGTGTATGACCAGACCAGTGGTCCATCTTACGCGCGGGCGCAGCAGTGGGTGCAGCAGCTGCAGCTGAGCAGCAGCAGCGGGGCCGTGATCGCGCTGGCAGCAAACAAGGCGGACCTGCTGCAGCAGCAGCAGGTCGAGCCTGCTGCAGCGCGCCAGTTTGCTGCAGATAATGGACTTCTTTTCCTCGAAACTTCCGCCAAAACGGGACTCAATGTCCTCAAACTTTTCCAAATGATCGCCAGGAGACTCCCCGAAAAACACAAGCTGCAGCAGCAGCAGCAGCTGCCCGGACTCCAGACCATTAAACTCACCGCCGACGAGGGGGGGGGCCCCCAGGGGCCCTCCCTCTCCGCCAAGCTCGGCTGCTGCGGCTCTTCTTGACTTTCGTTTCTTTCTCTTTCTTTCTTTCCTTTCTTTTTCTTTCTTTTCTTCTTTTTCTCTCCTTTGCTTTCTTTTGCTGCGCTTCTTCGCCCTTTGGGGCTCCTTTCTGCTGCTTCCCGTCTATAAAATAAAACGCCAGACGCCCCTTCTGCGGTGTACGTACACCCCGCGCCCGGCCCCGAGGTGTACGTACACCCCGCCGCCCCACACGCCACACGAAGTCTGCAGAGCCACTTTTCCTCGAGTCCCAAATGTGCATTTAGAACTCAGTTGCTTCTTTTTCCTGCCTTCTTTGCAACTCCATGCCAGGGGGCCCCAACAAAAACAAATTCTCCCAAGTGGGGCTTTTTCCGGGACCCAGGGGCCCCCGGGAAGCTCGGGGGCCCCTCCCAAAGGCCCAGGGGGCCCCACAGAAGCAGAGGGCCCTCCGGCTGCCCTTAGGGGCCCCCAGCGGGCCCCCAAGACCAGCTCAAGGGGCCCCAGGCTCAACCCAGGGGGCCCCCAGAAAACCTAGACCTTCAGGGGCCCCTGCCGCCCAGCGGGGGCCCTCAAGGGCCCCCCCGCGCCTAATAGGCCCCTCTGGGGGCCCCTCAAGGGGCCCCTTAGGGCTTCCGCTCACCGGGCCCCTCAAGGGGCCCTTCCAGGGGCCCCAGGCCCCTCAGGGGGCCCCTCAGGGGGCCCCTAAGGGGGGCCCCCATGGGGGCCCCTGGGGCCGTAGGCGTAGGCTGGGGCTGCGGCAGTGCGTTTGGTGTTGTTCTCCAGTTAGACTCTTTTGTTGTTTTTTGCGGAGTTGATTATAAGTGAAGAAGTCTTTGAGCTGCAACAGCTTTTTGCAGCTTTAGGGGCTTTATTTAGCTGTTTAGGAGTGCTGCTGCTGCAGCTTTTAAGTGCTGCTGCAGCAGTTTTTAAGTGCTGCTGCAGCAGTTATGAAGTGCTGCTGCAGCAGTTGCGAAGTGCTGCTGCAGCAATTATGAAGGACTGCTGCAGGAGTTTTTAAGTGCTGCTGTGGGAGTTTTTAAGTGCTGCTGCAGCAGTTTCTAAGTGCTGCTGCAGCAGTTCTTAAGTGCTGCTGAAGCGCTTGCTAAGTGCTACTGCTGCTGCACTTTCTAATTGCTGCTGCTACAGCTTCTGGTGTCTAGACACCTCGAGTTTCCGGTGTCTAGACACCTCAAGCTGGCCCTTGCGGGCAGTTTGGGGTGTCTAGACCCCCAAGACTGCAGCAAAAAAATGCCAATGAAATGAAAAACAAAAAACAAAATTAATTTCAACAAAAGTCCAAACCCCCATTGCAGAGGGGCCCCCAAGAGCCCCAGCGAGGCCCCAGGGGCCCCCAAACCCTTTTTGGGGCCCCGCAGCAGCAGCTCTCCAGCTGCTGCGGGGGCCCCTAGGGGCCCCCACGCACTATTGGGGGGGGCCCTTATCTTTGTTTTGCTGCAGCTTCAGTTGGATTCTGCTGCCTCTGCCCACAGCAGCAGCGTTTTGTACATTCCCTTACACCCCCAATTTACCCTGACCCCTCGCTGCTGCTGCTGCTGCTGCTGCTGCTGCTGCTGCTGCGGCTTCCAAGCGAACGAAGGAAGCCGCAC